TTGTATGTATACAAACAACTTTTACAGCATCCTGTAATTTGGGTTACAGATCAGAGGTTTTGAATTGCAGACATTTATTAAAAAAGAATGAATTATGAATTGAGACTAGGTTATTTTACTTATGAACCTTTTTAGTATTTTAATTTAACCTTTATTGTTATCTGAAAATCATTTAAAACACTTTGACGGTTTTAAACGAGATATATATTAGTTTCTCTTAACTAAATTTTAATGTGTACTACTCGTGTAAACTACAGACAGTATTTTATCTAACAGTCATATAAATATATATTAAACCATGGAAAAACAAAGCTTATGAAATTTTTAACTTTTTAGCTATCGTGATTTCCACAGGTTTGACAGATGGTGAATTTTTAGTGGTTTCTTTACGTTTTTATCTTCTTTAAGTTACTATAAAAATTAACACAATATATCGTAACTAACTTCGTTCAATCTTAAAATGTTTGACGTCCGAGAATTAGACATGTAGCTTAGTTAAACTTTGTGATGTACTTGACTGAATGTCTGTATTTTGTGAGTGTAACCTCTATGCTAAGTGCGTTTAGTGCCAAAATAGCGCGAATGTAGGCTAATATGTTATAAATATGCACGTACCGTAACTAACCACTGTGTACGGTAGATATTTCAAAGTCTGCCTACATCGGAATTTACATCGAGCCATAAATAACGTTTCCTTGAAAAATATTCATGAAAGTGGGATGTTTAAGTTTTAAAATTTTACAAGAATAATTTATCAGTATTTCATAAGTTTCTCATACGCTGAATTAGGTGTGTTCCACTTGGTCTTTTCGACTAAGAGCATGCCTTTTCATTTTGTTGAAAAATTATTAATAAAGAAGCTATTTCATTGCAAACGTTATTTAATAATTTTAACAAATAACATCAAATCATGTAATTATAATGTTTTTTATATATATAACGTATGTTTGTGTCCCTTGCATCGATCTAATCATAATAATACTCTTCATTAAATAAGTTATTACTTACTTACATTTACTTCCCTGATTCTTTATTTTATCTTTTATATGACAGTATAGTACAGTCAAATATATAGTCTACATGGTGGAAGATGCAGTACATCAAAACATCTTTATAACAGACTGAAAGCAAAACTGATTTAATATCACAGTTTTTTTATGCGGTAATGGTTCGTGCCCCGGACGGAATTTCGATATTTCTACCACCCCTTGATGTAGTGGGAATCGAACTCACGATGGTAAAATAGCTACTATAGAAAAAACGAGCCCATCGACATCAGAATTTGAATCCAAGACTTCTAGCAGTTCATGCCGTACTATGACGCCACGTGTGGTTTAATCACATCCTGTATAAAGCACTGCCTCTTCATTTAACGGTTTCAAGTGGAATACAATGGAACAGTTTGAATTCTGAACAGACATTTCAAATATCCTGGTTTTAGGCGTTAAATTGACGCATCGGTGAATATGAAGCGAATATTCTGACAATTCAATATTAACAGAATGCAGCAGTGATTATGGGCTGTATTGTTGGTCTAGTGGTTAATACTTTACCGCAGATTGCATCATCTAAGGTTCGAAGTTCGGCTAGCGTAAAATGTTTGTTTTTATGATTTTTCTTTTGTTTAAAAGTTTAAAATTTTTGACATGTTGTTGGCACAATATATATATTTCATATTTCAAAAATTTGTAATCGTTTTTTTAATTTATATAGTGCTATTTGGTGCAATACCATGTGAAAAATATTAAACATTTCAAAGGGTAAATTTTGTAATGTCATCTTAAAGTGTTAAGGTTGAAATTACATTGCGCGAGAGACGTATCAGCAGGTTCCAAAAATTCCATGATGCCGTGTAGGACTCGGTAGCACAATTGGTTAGAGCAACAGCACGGAACGCTGTGGATGACGATACAAGTCCTGCCCAAGTCGTATTTTTTTTTAATTTATTGAGGTATTTAGAGGTGTTATCAACTTCGTGTCTCGTTTATGATGCTTAATAGGTATCGGCTATCAACGCTTACCTAACACGAAGAGGATTCAAAACCCATGATCAAAAACTTTGAGCTACTGCGTTCATTCCGTACAATGCATGAACCTCTCGTAAAATACCAATATTAACACTTATATTTAAAACTGCATTCTTTGTAAAGAAGGTTATTGAAACATAAATATCAACTAACAAGCTTATTCTAATGGAAGTTTATGGCCTCAATGGTAGTTTAATTATTTCTTAGTTACCTAATTATAAGATAACTGATTATTATTATTTTTTACATAAACCACTAACGCTGTAAAACATGTTTTATATATTAGTTAAAATTATTTTAAACTACGGTCCGACGTTTCAACTAATTTTATCTAATATATATCGCGCTTTAACGTGTACAGACAGTATTTGATTATTATTACTTTTAGGATCTATTTCATTCGTAATTTAGAGTTATTTTTAGGAATATTCAAAGAAAATGAGAATATTTATATAAAACACCTTTACCGGTTTAAAATGTGAAATATATATATACCATGAGATGGCAGTAATAGCAGTTTTTATTTTGACATTAGAAACACCCTCCATCTTCATTCCCTTCGAGGCCACGACTGCTGCAAAGCATCCCAAACGTCGGGCCGTGGTTAAAATATTTTGTTAATAAATTAATTAGTACATTTTCCGTTTTTAACCGTTGAATTTGTTTTATTTAAGTTACTTCGTATGCGAGAAACCTGTGATTTTTTTTCAGAAATAGAAAACATTCACCGCTTATTTAATAATTTCTTCCCCTGAGTCTTAATTAGTTTGACAAATCCATTTTAAACTTCACAATAACAAAACTAATTCTGAAATATGATAATTGGAGTAAATTTAAATAGATTATTCGTCGAATTCGCTAACTTCAGCGCGCCTTTGAACCGAAATTAAAAGTTACTTATTGCGAACCCTTTGTAATATTTTTAGACATCTGAGATAGGGGTGTCTCTGGGAGCCATTTGGGGCAGGTACTATTCTTATTATCTATATAAGAGGCTTAGAGCGATCGATTTTGGCGTTGTCTTTGATGTTTATTTTGACGGATGGTAGCCTAAAAGGTGGTTATTTATTAATTCCGTAAGGCTTTGTATTTTAGTCTTTATTAAAATAATGTTATGTTCTTAAAAGTTTTTTAAAGTGTGTATATATTATTCTCATATTCATTTTTAACCGTCTAAGCTTAGTAGTTCAACGCCTTGCCTTTGCGTTAAAAGCGAGTCCTGGGTTCTAATCCAGGGGAAACAATAGATTTTTTCGGCCGGGTTGGATTCGGTTTGATCAATTACTTGCCTGTAAATAAAACCGATAAGTGAAACGAACACAGAAATGTGTCCAGTGGGGCATGGGGTGAGCACAATAAAATATATATTTTTTCTTTTTCTTTGAATTTAATTATTATTTGTATAAATAAAACACTTTAACGGTTTAAAACGCGATATATTAGTTAATTTATTTGAAAATTATTTTTAACTAAGGCCCGACGTTTCGGATGCTTTGCAGCAGCAGTGGTCACGAGGAGACAGGCGCGTATATCGCGTTTTAAACTGTTAAAGTGTTTTATTTAAACGTGTACTACTCGCGTAAACTGAAGACAGTATTTATTATTTGTCTTATATTTGTATCGTATATACATCTAATGGGTCATTTGGTTATCTAGTGGTAACAAATTACGGTAGGGGGTATTAAAATCCCTGGGAAAAACCTGTCATCATATTTAACTAAAACCCTCTCAACGATTTCAAACACGATTTGTTTTGCAGCGACCACTGTGACTAAGGCTTCTATTCGCGTGAACAACAAACAATATTTCATATTTATTGAGATTTCATTTACATGCAAGTAGTTCATGATGTTTCTGTGTTCTGTCCATCTATTTTTTTTCCTGAGATTCGAACCTAGGACCTCTCGTGATTAACGCAATGCTGTAAAACAGTATAACCATTGAGACGGGAGGTTATCAAAGGAGAGAAACATCTTATAGGTAAGTTAAAATTAAAGAACGCCATAAAAATCACAATTTTATTAGAAACACAAAAAACAATCTATCATAGCTTAAGTATTTTAAAATTGTTCAAAAGCTTTCTACACATTATTTATTTACCACGAGTTGACATTCTTAAAAATTATGTTTTCATGTGAAATATATAATAAATTTAATTCATTATAAAATTGATTCTTTATTAATACCAATTGTTTGTCAATATATCTATACATTTTTTTATAAAAAAGCAATACAACTAGTTGAACGAAGATTAAAATATAAGACGGCATAACGCCCTTTTATCGAGGTCTTAAATGAAAAGTGTGTGAGATTCCGTTTCCTTTCGTTTAACCATTGAACTTCGATGATCAATAGTTATTTTAATTGTCTGTGTTTAATTTATTATTTTGATCGGTATAAACTAAAAAAAAAAAATATTAATGAATATGAAATAAATAATAATTTCTAGTAATATGTTTTTCATAAACAGAGATAAGATGAAAAAAAAAAACAAAAAAAAGGTGAGTTGAATTATTGGAATTGAAGTTTTTCCAACCGTGTGGTTGTGATGAACACATGAAAAATGCATCAATTTCTCAAATTACCTCAACGTATAATAAACACGCTGGTATACCTATAACTCGTGGCAATTGACTATCGACTAATTTATTGTTATCTATTAGGTTCGATGTCCGCGCGCACAACAAACGTCTTTTTCCTCGGGGTATCATCTATCCCGTAAAAGCATACACTTCTACTCCGCTTATAATCTACAGACGAGAAGTTACGTGGCAGTGTTTTAGATTTGCAATCACTCTTCAAGCGGTAGTCGTAGTAGACTTGTCCTTCCTTAAAATACTGGCTATAGTAGCCGTCACATATATCGAATGATGCACTTTTGCACGGTTGTCCCTCGGGACAGGTGCGAGGCTCCTGAGGGGCGAAGTACCAGGGTGGCGTCGGAGCCCGGGGTTCGGGCCCCGACGGTCATCCTCAGCGAATCGGCTTGGAGACGATGATGACGTCAGGGGCAGATCGCGTGGTTTCCGTGCTCATTGGACGACGGTCGGGAATCTTTTTCTCTGTGAAAAGTACATCATTATATCATAATGTAGAATAAATATTTTAATCTAGTTTTAGACGTTCACTATCCTATTCGGTATATTTGTATTTTATACTTTTAAATGAATGTATAGTTTTATGTACATTATATACCAACTAGTAACCATTCTATGAAAGTTAATGGTCAAAAATTAATTACTTAATAAGTGATTTTTTTTTAATTTTGTACATCGCAAATACTATAACAAGGACAGCCTAAGAAGAGTTATTTTTTTATTCTTAAAATGTTCACCGAACAAAAGAAAGACTTACTTAACTTAGAACTTAATTATTTAACGGAGAAATTAAAAGACTTTTTTTACTTTTATCATCTCTGATGATGTTCATCAAAGTGTAGTGACGAAACATCGAGAACCATTTGACAATTACGACGACTAAATTGGGTACGAATGCCTTATATTGCGTTAAAGAAAATATTAATATTATATTACATTTATATTAAAAAGTGAGGCTAGGGAGATCACCGTAATAGACCCCAATGTTTTTTATTCCCTCCAACGTATCGTCCATCGCATAATCCTATTAGAGCCTGTAAGCCATATTGAGATAGTTTTAATCCGGACGTAATAGCTTCTGCTGCATGCTTTTAACAGCAACGCTAACTTCTTTGTAATGTTCATGAAAATTGCGTGTTTTGAGATACTATAGCCATTGGAAACTTTATAATATTTTGTGGCGTTATATATCATTTAATAAAATTAGAAAAAAATAATCTAAATCGAAAGCAACATTTGAAAATGTTTAAAAATTCAAACGTTAAATTCTGCAATTTCATCTTCAATGATTTTGTAAAACATTACTGTTAAATGTATAAGTGTTAAAGTTAAAATTACCTTGCGCGAGTGGTGCATGTATAAATTGAATAAATTCGAGATGACGTGTAAGACACAGTAGGTTAATTGATTAGAGCAGCAGTACACAACGCTATAGATGACGGGTCAAGTCCCGCCCGTGCCATACTTATAAAAAAAAATTTAATTAATAAATTTTGATATTAAATAAAAAACAAAGCAAATAATTAATTTAAAACGGTGGTTTTACTACCAATCATGTTGGACGGTTTTTAGCATTGATACATTAATTTTAATTTATATAATAATAAAGTGATAAGACTAGATTTATGAATAAAATAACTTATTATTAGAATTACTTTTTTTTCTAGTCTGGCTGCTTATGGCCTGAATTATACCAATATTAGGTAAAATGTTATAATGTGATAAGTTAATAAATATATAAATGCAAATTCTACTTTATATTTTTTCACATTTCAAATTTCCTTAGGTCGATTAAGCTTAGCTACGACGTAATGTTGCTACGCCAGACTACGGCGTAGAGGCCTCTACGAGTTAAATTGCTGTAGCTAGGATAATAATCTTTTGTTTGGAAAAACATAGACTCGTTGGTAGTAATGCAATAAACCAGTCAGAGGTTTAAATAATTTAATAAATTTTTATGAATTTACCATGTTTGACCTGGTGTTTAGAAAATCTTGACATTAATTTGGCCGTAAGTAACAAACGACCGTTCACAGACGGAAAAGTCACGTTGAGTGCAAATTTTCAATTTATCTTCTGTCTATGGATTTCCGAATGTCAATAAGCAAAATAAGTCGACAGCGCATTGTAATTAGATGTTATATGGCTGGAGCCTGCTTTTTTCTTTAAGAAACTTGTTTGTCTGTCGTTGATGTAAGAGCCTATTAAAAGTTGAGTGCGTAAATTTATTCTATAACAGGATAATACATAAAAAATATACATTCTTTAGAATATCCTTATTCCAGTATGAACGGAAACATCCCAATAAAAATGATTTTCGTTTGATATAAGGAAATTGCAATTTGTCCTTACATTTTGATTTTCCCGAAAGCGTCATTTGTGAAGTCGAATATAAAAATATGTGATTTTAATATATTATATTTTGAATATATGTAAGCATATTGTTTATTTTTTTGTATAAGAAGGTTTAACAATTCAGACCCACCACGATACTCCAGCATGGGTTAGCGGGATTTAACAACTAATGGTGTTGATGAACAACCGAGAGTGATGGCAGCCCCATAATTTAAATTTCTTTCTAAGAGAATTGTGTAGTACAAACCGAATATCGGAAGCTTTTACCTGATCTAGGATTTGAACTCGGGACTATTACTAATTATTCAATGTCAAAATTATTAATTAGTTATAAGGTTTAATTAAATCATTAATTTGTAGTTAAACGAAAGAAGTGTTATTGTGCTTCTTTTATTTATTAACGATGTATTCCGGTCAAATTTTATTATGAATTGTTAATATTATTATTAAAAAAATACTAATAAAGATAAAATGAATGTAAAAACACGGAAAAATGGCTATCAAAACGCGAACGGCCTACTTGAGTGCGAGATTTCAACTAATTATACAATATATTATGTTTGTCGGTGCAGATGCATCTAAAGATGCAGTTGCCATGGTAACAATGAGGTGTCAATTGCTACATTTATTTCATTTAATATTGTTTGTATTCACAACCTCCATATTAATATCTTAAATAAAAATTAATACATATATTTAAGACTCACTGGGAGTTAGACATGAGTTGCACACTAGCTTTTGTACCGTATATAAACATATGACAAATATTCCGTTTATTTACTGAAAAACCTCGCACCGCAAAGCGATAAGACAAACAAACATATTTGGAAGATTTTTTATCGTAAATATTAGTTTGTTTTGTACGATGGTATACTTTTATTATTGGTAGAAATTAAAAATGCAACCTACATTTAGGCATGCGCATAAGTCCCAGCGGTGGAAACTGATATAAGTTTGATGATGAAGTTTATGCATATTAAACTTACGTTGTTTTGTCTCTTGAGGCGTGGCCTGTCTCAGAAGCTCTATCGTGATTTGTGAGGTATTGGTAGGAGCCGGTGGCGAAGGCCTAGCTATTGTCGCACCGGAGTACCCGAATGTCGAGAAGCCTCTGCTATTCGTTGTGCCCGAACCTATAAAAAGAAGCGTATTATTGAAATTACATTATATCTATTACAGTCATATTAAATTACAACACTTTTAGAGGTTTAAAACTAGATCTATATTATTTGACTCGTTTAAAATGTATTTCACAATAATAAATATGATATAATAATGTCAAAGTTAAATCTGCAATACTAGCGCCATCTATTTCGTCGCAGTTGGGACTAGGTTAACTAGTTAATCCAATTATTGCACAAACTTATAAAATACAAACTAAAATATTATATTAGTTTGTGCATTCATTTGTTTTTATTATTATTATAAAGTATATTTTTTGTACAAAAAATGTTGTTCATAAATCATATATTGTATCTACGTTGTAATAAATTGATGGACAGCCAGATTTGTTAATTCATAAATCATTTTATAGGTTTATAGACTTTATTTCTCATAAGCTTGTGCATTTATAATGAGATTTACATAATAAAAGAACTTAAAAACTACGTATACATATACGCGGGTGGCTTAAATAATAATAATTTACATATGGTTTTGCTCGACTATATATTTTTTCAACATCATTTTAAAGACTTCGTAACTATCAACGCTGCGAATACATAGAGGTAAACTATTAAATAATTGTACTCCTTCATATAGTATTGTTTTTTTGCCATAGTTTGTTCTTGGCTTGATTAATTCAAGCTGTAATTCATCTTTATTTCTTAAGTTTAAAGTTTTACTGATGTAAGTTAATTTAATTTTGGAGTGAATGTTTTTTGATATAATCTTTCGAATTAAGATGCAAGTGTTATAAAAGTAAAGATTTCTTAAATTTAACATTTTACTTTTTGAGTAGATTTCGTTAGTTTTAAGAAATTTTCACGATGTAGTTTGACTTGTAAATAAGGAAGTCAGCAAGTAATAATGTAGTCATTTTAAAAATAGTCATTTTAAAAAATGACTACATCTTATTTAGAAACTTAGTTAAATGTCTGATAAAAAGTATTTAAAAGTACAGTTTGTTCTGTTTGAGTCGAAGTTACGCCGTAATTTGTCACTGACAAAATATGGCTGAGTAATTTGAGATTATTGAAATACAATGTTATATGATCAGTTTGTAATTAATAAATGTTAATCTACAATGTGCTTTTAAAATAATCTGTAGTCTACAGTGGAACGCAATATTTAAATACTTAATGCTTCGAAATTTAAATATAAATTGTATCGGTTAATTCGAAAATATAATTTAGAATGAAAATTAAAATGAGGCTTATTACATTAATTGTAAACTTTTTTACTATCACGACGCCCCGTCGGGTGATAATTAAAAATAAAATGTTTTGAACGTTAGAAAGTTTAAAATGTGTACTACTTAAACTATGAAGAATATGTGAGGTGGATTTTTAAACACGGTCCTGAATCTGATTCCAGGAAAGGAATATCTTCCGGGTAGTGCCGGCGGAAGTGAAAAACGTTGTGTATTTTTGATGTTTTGAAATGGTTAGAGAATAATTTTGCATGGATAGCCTTAATTAACTGTATTTTACTGAGGAAATGCATCACTTCACATACAGTCAATTTTTTTAGTAAAATACAATATTCATTTATTAAAGTATCGTACAGAAAAATGAATGAATGGATATTGTATTTTACCTCATAATGTCTAATCTCCTTGGCTTACGAATTTTTGATCAGCTGTTATGTCCTGACAAATATTACAAAAAGAAGTTATAACTTCAAAAATAAATATTATATGTCAGTTCTTTTTTAACTATTAACATGGTAAATGGAACTGAATTGAATCGTGTGCGTTCAAGTGAAAGATTCCCTTTTGTATTTCGTTCGCCTATTTGTTTATTGGTTATCTTTTACTTACAAAGCAAGACGGTTCCTTAAAAACATCTTATTGAGTAAAATGACAGATTCTATGCGAAAATAAAAGAGCCGGAGCTCCTGAAAAGGTTTTAAAGTAAATAAATGTCGTTTTCTTCGATTGATATTTTCGACCTTTATGAAGCGAACTGGAAGAAGCGATTTGGTACGCACATCCGAGTGATTTATCCGACTTCAAAAGGAGGTCATCTGTTTTATCCTTTTAAAGAACCTCTTGACTGCAATGATAATGTCGTAAATGAGATTGAAGGATGGATTGAATTAAATACAAACACAAAGACGAAGAAGAAGCACAACTCGAGTGCTTTCTACCAATTTACAAGCACTTACTCTTCTTTACATACATAATTATTCAAGTAAAATTTAAAAAATGTTTGTCAAAATTTATGTTGTTTGTACGTGCACAATAAATAGTTTGAGTTTTATTTAAAGGACATTAGATAGGCCTCGTGTATCACAGTTCGAGTCCTGTTTGTTTCATTTTTAAGCTTTAAATCTAATTTCCCTTACATGGGGCATAATTATTAATTTACGTGTAAAAGTTACCACAGTACGGACAGCAAAATTTAGGCCAAAGATTACACTGTCTCCTTCACTATCGGGTACAATAACACAGCATTGACACAGTAGCCTAGTTCGGTGACAAGTCACAAATTAGACCGGCCAAGAATAGTGTCTTGCGCCAGTTTAATTAGCTTTAGTTTACATTTAAAATAATTGGACTTGTGCAAACGAAACTGGAAAATATTATAACAGTTGACAATATATTTTTTAGCTACAATCAGAGGATGTATTGAAAAATCCTTCAATCACTTTTACTGGCACTGGCAAGGAGTGTAACGAGACTCATAATGTGATTTAGTCTAATTATTAATATAAAAGGTGAAGCTTATATACTTGTATAAATAGTGTATATGCGGCTACGTGCATTAATACAAAACAAAAGAATATGCTTACTAAACGGAGTGACTAAAACTTTCAAACACATGCATACACATCAACTCATATACGCCAATATTATAAAAAAATGCATGTTAAATTATTTAAGGATATGGAAGAGCTGAAAGAAGTAAGTAAAACGCATTTTTTGTCAAATATACTTTTTAAGATTTGACTCTGCTGTTTGTCACCTGTATCTCAAGAATCTATACCATCTAAAACCAAATATATAATTAATACAACCACTGTAGCACTACTAACTGAAACCAACAGTGGACATTGTTAGAATAGATTAGAGCAGCAGCACGGAACGCTGTGTGCCGGTTCAGTTCCCGCCAGTGTCGTACATTCTTTTCAATCTATATAGCTTTGACATATTATCTAACTTTGTTATCATTATTATCTAAATTTTCCAAACGAGAGGTTTGTAAATGTTCGATTTGGATTTATCGAACTTCTTTGCAAAATACGTACCTATTTGTCGAATGAGAAATTTCAAATTTAAAATACGTCAGATTTCATTTCTATCTGTGAAACGTGTTCAGCTAAAAGCATTTTAACGTGATTTCAAATCCGGAAGTTGCATTGCGTCACGCGGAGTTAAGGCGAGCTTTTGGAAGAATGACTATCATTCGCCGATTTAAAGATTGAATTATATTTGCCTGAGTTTGGAAAGTTTACACTGTATTTTTTACAACTTGACATACTCAAATTCACTTAGCAAAATCCACAATTTTATGCTAAGTAATGAAAGTCCTTAAAATGAATATAAGCAAATGGACAGAATATAATTTCTTTAATTTGACATTTACATATGTTGGGATGTAAACAAAGTCAACGACAATAGAAGGTAGAAGTCCCACTCGTTTACGATTCCTGCGTTAGAAACATAATAAATAAATAATAAAAGCAGGTTTAAATAAAACACTTTAACGGTTTAAAACGCGATATATTAGTTAAACTTATTTGAAAATGATTTTTAACTTCGGCTAATATATCGCGTTTTAAACCGTTAAAATGTTTTATTTAAATGTGTACTACTCGCGTAAACTATAGACAGTATTTAAAAGTAGGTTATCATAAATATGCTTTTAAATATTGTTGTTATTTGATCTGCTATGTCTATAATCTATGTTTCTTTATCCTTGTGTTATCTGTGGTAAAAACTTCACTTTAAAAGGTCATCACTGGAAGTCTATTATTTGAAAACGGCCATATTTGTTGTGGTTACTCAAGTGAGAAAAACTGTAGTTATGCGTGTATCAATCGTTATAGAAACGTAGGTGACAGAAATTGTTACTTCTTGTGTATGAGGACGGAAGACAGTCCGTTTATGAATTGTTCACATTTATTTTTTGACTTAAATACTTATTACTATATTTAAAGCAAAAAAAAATACGACACGGGCGGGACGTGCTACTGCTCTTACCAATTGAGCTACCGTGTCTTACACGTAATCGTAAAATTTTTCAACCTATTGCTATGAGTACCCCTCGAACTACTTGCGTTTAAAACAATGTTTGTAATATTCTTCTCTATTATCATTTATTCTGAAAATTTTGTTAAATTAGAGGACTTAAGTTTATAATATATTCGCGAAGTAGAACATAAAATTGGTTGTTGCGTTTTAAGAACTTTTTTGAGGTATAAAACTTGGAAGTTTTGAGTGGCGCCGAGTTTTCCGACAGTGTTTGTCGTACGTTCCGTTGTTTTCCGAACTAGAAGTAAAATATAAGTTTAAAATAAGAAGAGAATAAACTATGTGTAGAAATATATAGTATTATTTATTTTATTTTTAGAGACTAAGTACATTAAATGAAAAAATCTCTGTAAAATTTATAAGAGCAAATATTTTCAAATGTTGTCTATATTTTACGCTAGTCGTACACATTTAAATTAACCACTGTGACGGTTTTAACCGCGAAATATATTAGTGAAAGCATCTGAAACGTCGGGCCGTAGTTAAAATAATTTCTTAATAAGTTTAACTAATATATTTCGAGTTTTATACCGTTAAAGTAATTTTATTAGCCAAATATATTTTTTAATAAAATACTTTTAACATTTTAAAACGTGAAATATATTATAAATTAGGGGACATAGTTTATGAAACGACAAACCCTTTAAAACATCGGGTAGTTTAAGATTAAATCAACGTTTTCATGTTTTAAACTGTTACACGACTGTTATTTAAATAAAATATAAAAATTTAAAAAAATATATTTGTCGTAAGAAGTACGTAAGTTTATAACGCATTTTTAAAATAAAATTTAGAGTTACTATAGGTACATGCAAATGGTAGGCGCTTCTAAGCATTGTGCTCTGTAACGCAAACCCGATAAGCTAAGCGCAATATAACACAAATCCCTAAAGATGAGTCTGAAGATAACTCGGCAAGTTATCTTTTATTGTTTTTGCCCCCAAAGCTATCTGATGACAGCTTAGTGCGGTTCAGTGGCTTGGGGACAAATGTGTTTATCGATTTACGCGAAGTACTCTGCGATTTTCGGCGGGAATAGACTCGATTTTTAATTCAAATGTTTTGAGACAAATATTTATAACAGAAAATAAAATACCCCAGCTATATATCTCTAGCTATATAACAAGATGTGCCGTCAACCTATTTTGGCTATAAGACATATGGAAACTCAGAAACTGCAACCGAAACGCGATTAAACTTCATGGTTTTATCGTCTGTGGATAGTAGTTTGTTGCCCAAACGGATATTAGACATTCTAATTATCAATTTAATATCTAGATTTCTAAAAAAAGTCAAATACGTTTAAAAAAATATTAAAGGATTATAAAAATATTGGACTCGGTGGGAATCAAACCCGTAGCCTGTTGATTATTAATCCATTTACTGTCCAGATTTCCAATAAATATAAATTAATAAGATTAGAATATATAGGGCCCCGTGGTAATAAAACCCACGTTCAGTTGGGTGTTAGTCCATTTAATGTTAGATTTTCAGATAAAGTTATAATTATTATAAATTGATGAGTCATTGGGATCGAATCCACGACCGATTTGTCATAGACAGACGTTGCTACTATAAGAACAGCGAGCCTGCAAACTTTGTATTGGTTCAACTATATCAAGTGGAACTGAAACTTCCTCTCGATTGAAAACTAAAAGTTGAAGAAACTAAGTCAATACCAAACGTTCATTAACGGTACGGGGCTGATGTCACCCACATTGGTCTCGACAAAGCGTTCCTCCTGAGAATAATTGGCAATCACACGGAACCCGATAAAACGCGTATTAAAGTTCCTTATACATAGAGACATAAATAATAATCGATTTTAAGTTTTTTAAAAAAATACGACACACGCAAGACTTGAACGGGTATCCACAGCGTTTCTTTGATTTATGCATTTGAACTATTATATCCTGCGTCATCAACGTTTTTTTTTTAAATTTATATAATACTATATAAGTAATAATAAAGTACAGTAAAAGACGTAATTGACATTTATATACAGTCTTAGTATTTTTTTAAGTCTGTCTTAATAAATGAATTAATAACATCTAAACAAGATGCGCCGTTGACCTATTTCGAATTTGGATATTCGGAAATGAGCTGAACCGAAACGCGATTAACCTTCAAGTAAGTAAGTGAAATCGTAATCCCAGCCAGGCTACGTGGAAAAAAGGTGCACTGTCTACCATTTGGCTTTAATCGGGTACAGCATGTTTTCTTAAATCCATTTATATTTTTCTGAAACGTGTGAGAATTCTTAATAATCTATATATTAAATGGGTGATAGGCATATCAAAATTCTTCGGTTTGGGTCACCAACTAGTGCCCGCAGATAAAACATCTATGAAGTGTAATCACGTTTGGGTTTCAGTCTGTTGATTTGTCAATAACCAAAATAGGTAGTTTTTCTGTAAATTCTTCAAGATATAAAATTAAGCACAAATACGAAATATTGTCAACTTTCTTTAAACTACGAATACAATCCAAAGTGTTTGTTTGTTTCAATGATGCTTTTCAGCACCCTCTGACCTTTCAGACGTAATTATATTTCTCATTTTATTCCGTTCAATTTGTAGTATTTAATAAAGGTATATACTACGAGGTTATATATTATAAAAAAGATATTTAAGTTTTTTTGTAAAAATAACAGATGATAGTCAAAAATTTCTAGAACTTACCATCTGAGCTCAAAGCGGTTTCCGTCTGGAACAAACTCTCTCTAGTCTGGCATCCAGATTCTTTAGTGTCTGGTGCACCCACTGATACATCTCGAATCTCCTTTTTCGCTTCTTCTTTTCTTCTCATGGATTCTTCTTTCCTGCTTAAATCGCTTCTTCTCTTTCCGTTTTGTTCTATTTTCACATCTTCCGCTTCAACCTCTCGTCTCCATGGTTCATCGTCCATGTCCAAATGGGTTTCTTGTATGAAGTCTGAGTCTATGCTTGTGGGCTGTGAAAATTTGACCAGTTAATCCATAAAATCGAAATTACTTGCTTAAAGCGTGAAGCGAAAAAATGCCTATGCATGTTTCAATGATAAAATCTTCTTTATATTTCTGATCCCTGTCCGAACGACAAACTTATTTCCTCGGAATTTATACCCAGGACCTCTCATGCTTTCATTGAGTTCAATAAGTGGCAATATTAGTAAGCTATTAAATTGACTGAAGTTGTTTAAATATTTTTTATGTCTCGTGAAATAAATGGTTTTACTTCGCGTTTGTAATAAAACTCTTTTAACGTTTAAACGCGAAATATATTAACTTACAAGTTATTCCGTCACGTCGGGTCGTATTTAAAAATGTAATAGAATGATATTTCGCGTTTTATAAACGTACAATGACTTACTCGTATTTTTTGTTGCGAGAACTTCCTCTGCTGTTTAAACATCTCGTTGGTATGGTTTTCTCTTTCTAGACTTGCTCTGGGTTCGCTGTCCCGCTGAAGTCTCTTGGCATCCAGGGTCAGTCTACTCGCCACTAAACTGTCCAGACGGTCTTCACAGGATTGACGAATGTGTTCCTAAAAGCCAGAAAGAAAGAGAGTTAATATGTTACACGACGGTCTAATGGTAACAACGTATGGCTAATCAACGGGTCGTGGGGTCCTACTGATTCAAGACTGAGTCTAAAAATCCGAATAATTAAATGGGTGGTAGGAATCGGAAACGCGTTTTGATTTCAGTCGGTGGATTTCCGAATGTCCAAAACCAAAAAAATATCGAAAGCACTTTTGGTTAAGATATTATATGGCTAGGGTATTTGTCTTGACTCTGTCATAAACATAAATCAGGGAAAGTAGGTTCAAACACCGGCCGCGTCATCAACAAACAACAGCAACAGGCAACTTTAAACCGTTCAGCGCGGCGGAATTAACGTACTGTTGATAACAGTTTAATATTTAAATAATCCACTTCAACGGTTTAAAACGCGAAATATATAAGTAAAACTTATAGTCATTACGACTCGACTCCCCGTTTGTCTCCGAATGAAAACGGGTGCTGCAAAGCATCCGAATTGTCGGGCTAGCGGGTAGTTTAAATCATTTTCAAATAAGTTTAACTAAGAAAAATAAATATTTCGCATTTAAAACCGTTCAAGATTTTTACTACTACAGTAGTGCAGACATTATTTAACAATTAAATATTTTTGTAAGTTTCATTCAAAATGTAATAAAACAAATAAGTCACAACGAGTCAAGATTCCCGGTTGAATTGTAAAGCAACTTCGAAATTAGTTTCGCCAACAATGGACTACACTTACAATGTAACTTGAGAATAATAAGCGGGAGAAGTTAGTTCAGATAAAGGTTGGTCACTTTTTGGTGCAATTAGATGGTAACACTGTCGCCGGTTTCTGCGTTGAGGTAGAATTGAATTATTAGCGGCAACACTTAGTGAAACTTTACATTTCTCTTAGCTGAGTGTAGCAGATTTAAAAAAAGAATTATAACTTGGCGGGCTCATCTTCGGATTTACTTGATGATAAGTGCAATATCCCCGCCATTTAGCATCTAAACAAGATGCGCTGTTGATCATTGCCTTTAGATATTCGGAAATACACAGAAACCGAATGCGAATGCGAATTATAGTTTATGGCTTTTACATGGACGGTTGTTAGTGACCGCGATGAAGTTCAAAATTCCACTACCCATTTAGTATACAGATTTCCAGACGAAATCCAACAGTTTCCAATCCAACATCCAAATGTTTCAGAAAAAATATAAAGCGATTAGAAAGTGTTGGACCACGAGAGAATCAATTTATTAGCCATTGATTACTACCATTAAACCCTCATGTTTCTAAAATTATTTGATACTTTTTATGGAGCACGTTAGACTAAAAGAAATCTAGATATTGAGTGGGTGGTGGAAATATTAAAATTCCGTCGCTGCTCAAGAACGACGTCCATAGAAAAATTAATGCGTAATTGTGTTTGTATTAATGTATTGTTGATATTTGACCTTCCATTAAAGTCAATCATGCTTGGCTGATTACCAATCAGCAGGATACATTGGTACTTACTTTGATGATCTTGTGATCCTGATAAAGCTTCCTGATGCATTTGAAGAGGAAGACAAAGCTCATCCCGGATAGAATGAGGGAAAATATTATGAGAATCACTAAGATGTGGGGCTGTTTGATCGTGGACTCTGCTTGCGTCTGAAACAAGATTTATTTAATGACAAAACTAATATGAAATAGTTCTTTAATATCATTATTTTATTATCGGTTGTCAGACGAGAATAATGAAACATAAAAATATCTAAATTAAAAATCTATTGACGACATGGATGGAATTTGAACCGGCATCTACAGCGTTCCGTGCTGCTACCAACCAATAGCGCTGCCGTGCTTCATTCCGTTTCTGTGCCTCGCTCTACCGAAATAACTCATCTAAAACAAGACCATCATAGTCAATGCAATGCCAGGCAACATGTTTAACCAGAAAGCTACGGAGCTTGCTACTCCTGCAAAACGGCTGGAAAGATTTTAATGATATCGTGTATGTACATTCCTTAGGCCTTAAATTGGTCTTCTATTTGCCTCTTTACTAAATTCGCTACATTCTTTGCACTCAAATAATTTTTATGGCAAAACGATGGTTGTCGGGTCAGCTAGTATAAGCGTATATCTTTTTGAGTGAAGAGATTAATCGAACTACCCATAAAGGGTAGAGAGAACATAGTCCGCGTTGATTGAGCGATGTCAGTGCCGATCACTTGGAGCGAAAGTGGAGATAAGCCTCCAGTTATGAGCAGTAAAGACAAACGCCCCTCGAGATCGTAAAAATGATACCAGTCTCAGTACTTTGCCTTTTATTTTATTACATTATTCTTGGTTGGCACTTTGTGCCCGGTTATGGCAAGACTAGATGCGGCTTTCGATAGTTACATATTATATTCAAATCGGAAACTCTTTTTATAATATATGTTTGGAGAGACATCGCAATTTGTATAAAACATATTTTTAAGATTAATTTCATTCTTAAGCTTAAAACAGATATATAAATTTTATGTTAGAGTATATGCTAGAGAATACTGTATTTGGACAGACATTCAGTTGTATTATATGTCTATACACTAACTTTCTATGATGTTTAAGTTATTTCTTAGCAATTTTTATAGTTTTTGTTTTTTGCGTAGCCGTCCTTATAGCAGGACTAGCTGTGCACTCGCGTAGAATAGTTATTTTGGGTATCAAAATTTGATTTGCAAACCTTTGTTCAACTTTATAAATTTAATAGACCTAAATATATAAAGACCTACGACGTCGTCCGCATCCCGTCCGCCCGCAAGTTAATCTTGTAAGATAGACATACAGTCGCAGACATTTTTTTTACATCATTTAAAGAGAAATCATTCTTTCATACATTCTTTTGAATGTTTTGAACCGTTTTCGTAGCGTACGCAACGGTAGCAAGTGACGAGAATGAATAATTCTCTTTGATTTTCCACATTTCCCGCTGTTTTTTCGCTCCTATTATCGCGACGCGATCTTTTATAGCCTTTAGCCATCCTCAATATATTCTCTAACCAATACAAAAATAATTGTTCAATTCGAATCTTTCGTATAATTAATAATAATTATTAGCATAAGCATAAAAAAATATATTAGATGACAGTGTACTTGCAACGTAAAGAATCGTATTTTATTTCTTTTATTAATTTATAGATTTATTCTTAATACATTAACGTGTTTACAATTAAATTTCTATTTACCGCTGGCTTTACAAATGTATTTCTCAATTGTAACCTTTTTAAGTAAAGATATTTTCGTAAATAAATACGTTTGATTACCTTACAATCGTCGTGCTCCTCGTCAGCTTTGAGTCGACAGTGCGCCACATCATCGCATTTCAACAACTTGTCAATACAAGTGTTGTCTTCGCAGTTGAATTCCGTTTCTGGGTCGCACTTTTCTGCAAACATATTATGGTTTGGGTGCAGCAGGACACACAAGTTTGATTTACTAATTGTATGTAAAATCGATTGGTGAAAAAGATTTCATTGATTTACTTGAACCTTTGCGGTTCTCTATGGTAGTTTCTTTTCTTTTAGAATTGAATGCCAATAAAAAAAGAGATTTTGTTGATTAGTTAATACGTAAAAGATGAATAAACAAAAATAAATACTACTTGACACTTAGCAAATATATTTATAATATTTTAATTCAACACTAACCATCCTTATTAGGATCCAAGCTCCTAAAAGCAGTGAAGGTGGCTTGGAAAGAAGATGTCTTTCCGACCTTGGAAGTGAAAAGACGAACGTACATGATATTCCCTCTGTCCTCCTTACTCTTGCTGCCGTCTCCTTTCGTGGTTACAGCATTCGCCACAGAGCCACAGTAGTGAGCTAACCTGAACATGTTAAGATGCTATTATTAAAAGTACATCTTTGCCGGAGCTGTTCCAGATTAGTCTTACTACTATATTAGTGCGGAACGGGAGTGATGGTAGTGGTAGTGTCATGCTTGTAATTGCTCAGAAAAACTTCAAATAATGAAGTAACCTAACTAAGATAATGAACCTGATAGTGCACTAAAATAATTTAAATCAACAATAATGTAAATAATTTAATAAAACATTTTATAGTCTTGATTATATATGAGACCACTAGAGACAGAGTAGCCTACTTCATACTCTAAAAATCTTAATCTACAAGAGCACAGTGACAGAAAATTGTTAACATAATTCTTACACGACGAATTCAATTTCGCCTAAGCTAATTGTGCATTTTTCGTTTCCTCCTTATTGAAAATCATGTTTTTTGTTATTAGGCCACTCTGCCTCTACATAGCCTCATATAAATCTAATACAAATGATTACATACTTCGACTCGTATTCCAAGATGTAGCCGAAGACTTCCACCACGTTATCTTCACACTCATTTGGTTTCACCAAAGCGTACGACGTGAAATTTAAGTATATCTGTGGATACGCAGGAATTATTTAGTAAAAATATATAATAAAAACGAACACATCGAATCCCACTTACCAATACTTTCTAGTACTAGTGTGTAGTAATTACCTTTGTATTTTCTGGTGTTGTAATAGTCCAAAGCACGTCTAGATTTTGATTGGAGCTTCTTGTCTTGCAGTCCTTATTTATATTAGCAGTATCTATCACCCCATGAGTTCCACTCACTAGCATATTACAGCTCTCTGGTATGCTAACTGAAAAGTGGAGGCCAGATTTTGACAAAATCCTTAATGGGTTTGGTTTTGATGGGGTTTATTTCTGTAGTTCACGCGAGTGGTACACATTTAAATAAAGCACTTTTAACTGTTTATAATTCGAAATATATAAGTTAAGAAAAGTGTGTTATGTGTATCTGTATGTTGTCAATGCTCTAATCAGCATTGAAAGATTGAAAATATATTTAGTCAGCGCAGAACGATAAACTTTTTGGTGCTAAAGAAACCTAAAAAACATTGTTAAAGTTTAAATGTGGAGGTTGGTTTCAAATACATAAAAACCAGAGTGTGTAGTTAAATGTTAACAACGTATTAGCATTGCGTTTAGCACAAGAGGTCCTAGGTTCAAACCACTTGGAAAAAATTCAGCCCGACTCTGTCAGAAGTAAAATCAACTACTTGTTATTGAATAAAATCGAAAGTATACGAATTTTCTATCACTATTGATTCATACCCGAATTATGTATGGCAACTGAAGTTAAAGACTTACCACTAGTACTTAGTTCTACAAAATTGATGTTTATCCTGAATCCTTCGTATTCAATGGTGTCGTCCGAGTGGAATTTCAGCCACGCATTCGGGCCCGTAGTGCGTATTTGGCGAGGGAAGGCTTCGCCGCAAACTTTGTCTATCAATTTAGAATAACCCCTCAACCCATCGCGAATCTGTAGAGATAAACAGGATTTATTCAAACGGGTAAGAAAATGTTTCATTGCAAAAAGTTTATATTTTTATTACATTTAGTGTACCTTAGTGTAGTGTAGATAAATCTTATACTACACTAAGGTACAGTCAGATGAATAAAGTGTTAAGTAGTTTATTACGGTTTTGTAATTTTAATATAAAACCTCACTTCACATAGTGTTGTAGTTACATAAAACTCTTGTAGCTCAATATATTATTAGGGATATTATTTGAACCGGGCCCAGACAAGAAAAAGCTTTAGAAAGGTACACATACAAAATGACCTAACTATATATCGAAGGAAAAGTTCTTCTTCATGATACCGTTTGATTAATGTAATTGGCTTCGGGGCTTTTTGATTTAAAAAATCTTAAAACACATTTCTTAAACATAAGTGAATTTTTACCACAAAACTAACACTCAAAGGATTTACCTACCACAGTATTAGTAACTTTAATTAACTCTTTATAAATAGCACGTCTGTACTGTATGGCTTTTAAAATTATTGTAAAAGTATACACATTTTTCACATCCGACTATACATGTACAAGAACTCTAGACTCCTAATGAATCGTGAGTCAATGAAACGGGATTTCTATAAACGTTATTTGTATCGCAAATAAAACCACGCCAATATCGCTACGTCAACAGTATCAAACGAACAAATATATGATTTCCTTCAAAGATACGTAGATGTGAAAAATAGTTTAAAACATTTCACTAAAGCTATTTCAGCGACAACTTATGTTTAATTCAATACAATAATAATTAATTTTATCAAATAATAAAGCCGAAAAGGGAAAGCCCATTTCGGGCCATAATTGGACTTTTATGAATTCATTTTTTTCATAATAGTAATCACCCTCTTTAGATTGTAAACTTTATTGTTAACGTATTTAATGTAACGAACTATTATTGTTTACGTAGGTAGTAGTAGATAAAGTAGTAATTTATTGATTCATTCATTCAAAGATATATCAACAGATCAGAACATACATCACCTATGAATATATATTATAAAAATATATGTATTCTTATGTTAGATCCAAATAAAGATACAACACTAGTTTATAAATATAGAAACAAACAATTATTAACTTAAAAAAGATATAATTGTTGCGCACCCCCATGATATTCCCAAATTAAGAGCATAGAACGAACGAGAAGGACTGGCAAGATACTCTTACTGCTTTATCTTCAAGGTTTTGTTACAATCCTTATGCACTTATTGTGTACATAAAAATACACATAATTCTTCGAGCAAACGAGGAGTTAACATCCCCTCATGATACCGTCCACACGTGATGGCGAAACGTCGAGAACCTCTTCTCGCTCACATCGGCCGAACAGCCCGAAAGACAATGATATGCTATATTGTGTATATGTTCTTCCTTGTTAGAGCGGGTTCCTTCCAACCAGCATTGTTTCATTTAAATATTGATTTACGTTATAATAACCCTTCCAAGCGGTTTTTGTGTCCTTACGATTTTTACGAAAATTATTGACAGTATTTAACTTTACAAGGGACTTTCAAATGGAATTGTAAGTGAACACAAATTAACAATTATACTCACTTCTAGATAGTCGTAAGTGCATTCAGGATGAAATTCAATGTGAAACATATCGACGAACGTTAATTCCACCACTTTTCCTTCGTCGCCTGGAAACAAAATATTACCTTTAAACAAACCTCTAATGGGTTGAAGTCTTAAATATTTATAAAAATAAATCTTAGATTTATTGAAAGTTTTATTCTTGATAAAACCTGATTCTGCCAACCATGAGATATTGAACCTCAATTTGTAACTAATTAAGGTTGAAATTACATTGCGCGAGAGGTTTATGACATCCCTGAATTGGTCAAGTGGTATCACGGACTCGGAGATATATCCGCCCCATAACCCAAAACAGGAAACTATACTTCTCTTTATTTTACATCATAGTTTCTTAAAGATAAATGAAAATATAATATAATAATTTTGAATTTCAGCACACCGTCTGTATGTACGCTGATCTCTGAAACGTTCTTCTTTAGAAAGGGATTTATCACATTTTAATAAAATACTTTTAATCGTTAAATGTGTTATATTATTACTATTCGCGTAATACAGAGGATACCGGTATGTTCTACAGCTAACGTTATCTCTCACTGAACCAGAGTAAGTTAGAAGCCACGTATATACCCTTCTTTTGGGTCCCAGCAGTGGGAACTGTTAGAGGATGAATGATGTTTATTGATATTATTGAAAATTTAATAAATCTTATCGTAGGATAAGTCTCAGATATATTTTAGAATCCCAGCGGGTATCTGCATCCATCATTAGATTTTAGATAGATGCAGATACCCGCATAGGTTTGAAAATATAAACAATTGGCTCTGTTTCAAGTTAGTTTTATTTTCTATATTCTTACTCAATAGTAAACTTAAAATGGACAAACACGTTTTTGTGTCCGTTTTTATTATTGTCTATTCGTGGTTGATATGTATATGCCCTGATAAAGTTGACTACACCTTAAGTTACGACAAGACAAAAGCAGTTCTCTAATACGGGTACATGGCTATCGCGGCTTCGAATCCCGGCTGTGCAAGACAATATATAGACAAGTCTAGTGCAATTTGTGTTTTCATCTTTTGTAATTTTTTTATAATATACAAGCATCGCTTGATGGTAAGTGTAATACCAGCCATGTAACATTTGCGTTGTCGACCCATTTTGGATCTTTGGACAGATTTAAGCCAAAAGGTTGTAAGTGCGTAACCAAGACAGAATTTATATATGTCTACCATCCATTTTATATCCAGGTTTCCATAGAAAGGCCAACATGTTTTAGGAAATATCTAGATTAATTAGAAACATGGTGAACACACCATACATTGCTTAAAGCTTAAATTAATAAAGCGAAAAGCAGAGTACAAGTTAGATATTTGATGTTATGCATCTACAATATTGATCGTACAGTCATTGTTTCGAATTAAGACTAAAAAATTCGAACCTACAACCCTAGCTCAATAATGTTGCCACTAAGCAAACTCGAGTGATTATTTTGCTTTGATTTATTGTTGCAGTGACCACATAGTGTGGCAAATACAGTGTTGCCAGTATATTTATCTTGATGATACTGTAGAAGCGAAATTTAGCATTTGTATAAGGCTGCAGTCTCCAATAACCGCGAACATCAAGAGTTAAGCCGTTTACTCTTATTGAAATGTACATGTTGTTGCTTGCACTAAAATGTAGTTAAATAAAATACAGTAAAAGTTACACGAAATAAAATATTATATCTTGAATACATACTGTTGTTTTCTCTTTTTGACGCTGACATTAAAATGCATTTTAATAAACATATTAAAAGTTTAAGACCCGAAATATATTACTAAATTTATTTTTAATGTATTGTCATTACGAGGAATGTTAAAACGAACTGTTACTATCTGTTTTTAACGCTGACGTTATAATATATGCAAATACAACTTTTTAGCGGATTAAAACGCGAAATAAATTAGTCACCTTATTGTTGACCGTCTTTGAAAAAGTACTGTTGCTTTCTATTTCAGACGCTGACGTTAAAATGGATTGTAATAAAAAGCGTTTACCGGTTTAAAATGCGAAATATATTAACTAACTTATCGTTTATATATTTTACTGCAACTGAAGTTATCGTGATTAAGCTATAGGTGTTAATATTTTATATATTATAGGTTAACAGTCTTTTGTCACTAGTCGTTCCGAATCATTGCATCGTGAATGTCAAATGTTTTGATTTTTTCGCGTTTTACTGACCTACAGAATTAATTGCATATTTTGAAGCGTCGTAACACTGCATCTATTTGAGACCGCAGCCTTAGCTCCAGTGAAGTTTAACGGCCCTGCTTACTCGCATGACACTCGCTTGCAGACATATTGTGGCGATTTAAATTAATGAAAAGCAATTCCTACGCTTATTCGAGTCGTAATAAACTTTGTTTTTAGCACAAAAGCGTTTTAAGTTTTACTATTAATGTTTTACGTAACTTTTAATATACTATTTGTATATTAATTTTGAGTGCCGTTAATTATACGTAGGTGTCTATCTACAAGGTTGCCGGGGAGGAATCGCTTTTTAGCAATAAGGCCGCTGTATCTCGTTTTTAATTATATTTCTGCTTTTTTATTAATTAATTTGTTTATGTTTGAGTAAGTCTGTCTGTTGCACTTTTCCGGTGTTGATTGGCTCAAAATTATAGCTGGATAATTCTAAATTAAACTAAAACACAGAATTCATTTTTCATATGTGTCACGGTTTTTTTTTTATGGCACCTTTGGTTTTATTTCATATCGACGGTAGGTTGTGGTCGAAGTGTCAGTCTAAGTGTAAATTTACTTAGACCATACTTGCCGCAACTGAGCAACAGGGCAAAGGATATTTTCTAGACATATTTCTGTATGTATAAGCTGCCTATAAAGTGATGCATTTCATGAAATGTGAATGCTTCACTGTTGATATTATGTAGTTTACTTAATTACTAAGAACTCAGGACCCGAGAAACGGCCAACCAATGAATAAGTCGCAAAATGTAAGTTTATGTTTCGGTCGCACTCAGTACCATTCTAAATGTTTAAATCGATATCTCGTTAGGATTTTCTTAATTAATGTATTTAAATTTTATTTTAACTAAGGCCCGACGTTTCGGATGCCTTCAAGCAGTAGTGATCACGAGTCTAGCTGCTGCAAACGTCGTACCAGGCCGCAGTTAAAATAAATTGTAAATAAGTGAGACTTTAAAGAAAAAATAACTTTTAAAAAACGATAACTTAGCGTAAAAAAAATATAAATAACTCAGAGCAAAATTACCAACAAAGCTTATGTTGAGATATTATACATTAAAAATTAAAATCCGGTTTTTCTCATATGAGTAACGGGGTAGATACATCGCTGTGTCCATGATAACGATTGCTTTTATTTACACATGATCAGACTGAAATAGTTGCCGCCCCAGGATTCAAGCCTAAGACTTTTACCAACTTAAAGGTATTTGGTTAAAAGAGAGGTACAATTTTAACTTACCACTTATAACAGTGACACAGTCCAATTTGCTATAATAATAGTTATTTTTGCTATCGCTCCCGTGCGGATGAGATATATACTTCTGATCCTTATTATTGAACATGAAATTCTCGCATCTAGGATCCGGTTCATCTTCTCTTTTCACTCTTCTTCTTGGCATGTACATTTCAAAACTCCTACCTCTTCTACTGATTTTCTGTACATCACTTCCATTATTTTCAATCAAATTAGGTATTATATTTACATTTTCTTTATTACCTTGATTCATATTTAGATTATTTATATCACTTTTATTTATTACATCGCCTATATCTTTTATATTATTTACATCGCTTTGGTTCTGTACATTGTGTTTATTTGCTAATTTATCTAGTTTCTGCTTATGGCTATTAAAATTTGTTTCTAAAACGTTATCAGTATAAATTTCATCATATATATTTTGTACATTGGTCCTAATATTCATTTTCATTCTTTTGCTATTTGTTGTGTTTGTATGTTTGTTTGTTTCATAATCCGCTACTGTGGAAATGACATTGACACTGGAACATGCTGTAACAAAAATAAAATGTTATCAATTTATCAAAATTTTAATTAAACACTTGTTACACGTGTTAAAACGCGATATATTAGTTACACTAATTATGCTTAAATTTTAACTACCATTAATTAAAAAAAATAACGAAAATAAGTGTAGAATTAATATATTTCGCGTTTTAAATTGGTAAAAGTAGAAACTATAAGAACATTTAAATAAAACACTTTTAAAATAAAATTTAATTTAACTACGTCCTGACGTTTCGAATGCTTGGCAGCACCCGTGGTCACCGGGGGGACACAAGATGGATGTCCATTACGTCAAAAGAAAAACTGCTACGCTAGCGCCATCGGTTCCGTCGTAGTTAGTATTAGGCGAAACTAGCTGTTGCAGAACTGATCATAAGATCATTTTCGCTGCAAAATTATCTTCCTTTAGGCACATTCCAAAAATAGTTGGCCAGAGGCGCTGCTAGTCAAATATATTATTAAAGAATCACTCTGAATCGTGTTTCATTAAAGATTATACCAAGAATAAATATTCAACTACCGCATTGCAGTTCTTACTTTTGAATACAAAACGTAAGCGAGTCAAATGTTCATAAAATATATACTATTTGCATGTAACAAAATTAATGATAGTGAATTAAGATGAAAAGAATGAAATAAGCGTATATAGGGCAAAATTGAATCTTAATTCTTAAACTCTTCCCTCTTGAGAGAAAGCAAACGAATTGGAGGGGGAAACGATTGAAAAAGAGCTCTAAACATATTTTAGAACACAACCACGTGTCTAAGTACCGGCCTCTTTATCGATGTCACTCTATCCAAGATGGCGCACAAACCAACAATGATGTCATTAAAACTTTATCGTTAAACATTTTCGCATAGGTTCGATAGAAAGGGCTAGTTTCCCATAAAAATCACAAACGCGCCGCGTTAGTTGTCTGACGGTGTTGAATAAATTAGCGAGACCTCGGGCTTTGCCCCGGGGGACGCGTTTCTGTTGCCCTTATTAGGGATGTACTGGAATGTCGATAAAAAATTGTTGGAAAGAGTTGAAAATTAAGTAGGGGCGACTAGTACACATTTTTAACACGACATATAACCTACTTTACTTATTTTCGACTATGAACTGGCGGTTTGCATGCTTTCCAGCAACTGCTGTTATTATTGTATAGTATATGTAATTATTATTTTTACATAAAGGCTTATCCACCAGATATGACATCCACATGTGATTTTTCCAGTTAAATATTTTTCGATTGCTTAAAAACTTTAATTTAAATTCTAATTTCCAAACAACACAAGTTGCGACAAACTTATTTCATAGTTTTACGTATTATATTATGGAAATAATTATAAGTGTAGTAAAAATTTGTAATGTGTTGCACTTTAAGAATAAGTATCTTTTTAAATAAATAAATAAATTAATTAATTAATAATTACATAATATTGAAACATAATGAAGAATTTACATTTTTATATCATTGAAACGAAACCAGTCACTACTTTACAGTTCATGTAGATCTCTATAACTCAGTTATAAACCCTATGCCTTGATTGGAACCCGGAATCTTCGCTTGTTAACGATGAAATTTAGTTTTATCGACAAACCCACATCACTATTAGGCTTTTCACCTCGCGAGCAAGCAGTGAAACGTTCCGTTAGCTTCAGCTCTGAATGCTTTTTGTGGTACTTGAAACGGACCAAACTACCAATGTATATTAACGCGGCTTTTAATTTTAAACAAGTTTATTTTAACTCTAAGCTAATTGGACGGTATTGTAGTTAAACCTAATAAAAGTTATTAGTTTTATCTAGTTATATAGTTATAGTATGAACTAATATGAAAGTAACATTGCAATCAGCAATTTCATTGCTTTTTAATGAATCTTACGAACGATAAAAAAATTTGAAACGTTTAATATTTTTTATATTTTATAGGATTATATAAATTAAAAAGCTTCTTAGATAGAAAAAAGATCGAGAAGTTTTGTGTAAGTGTTAAGGTTGAAATAGCATCACGAGAGAGGTACATGTACCAATCGGTTGGAAAATATTTGACTATGACGTTTAGCATCTGTCGCAGTTAGAGCGGCACGGATCGCTGTAGACGCCGGTTTAACATACCGCACATATCGTTTTTTTATGTAGAATTAAAAGCCACAAAATAAAATGGTCTAAAAGATTTTAACTACGTTTTAGATTTTCCGATGATCGTCCTATTTCAGGCGGTCGGCGGCGGAGACAGAAAATGAAAAAAATCCTCGAATCCCCCTTACAAAGGACGAGCAATATCTTCAGGACAAGAAAAGAAATAATAAAAATGCGGTGACAGAATTGAAAATGCTTCGGGGAAATTGCGAACAGCCCACAAACAGCATAGATTAGCTATCCTACAAGAATGTTCACACGACTAAACATTTACGAATCGAGGAAATTAAAACATACTCTTTGAAAACTATGAACTTTATAATTAAAAAATCGAAAATAAATTGAAAAAAAATTTCTACTCGGGCAGAAATTGAACCGGCATCGTCAGCGTTCCGAGCTACCGAGTCCTATACCTCATCGTCGAAACGGGATTCACACAGGGCGAACACATTTCTGTGTCCGTTTCACTGATCGGTTTTATGTACAGGCAAGTAGTTGATCAGACTTCTGTACCCCGCCCCGACCGAAACAATTTACTGTTTCCCGGGGATTCGAACCTCTCACGCTTAACGCAATGCTAGGAAACACGTTTAACCATTTAGCTATAGAGGCGGTAGAGTGAAAAATATTTAACATATGGCTATGGCAGTTTTTATTGTCTAATTGACTTCAATAAATAAGATTTAAACGTTAAACTCTGTGATTTCATTTATAATCATTTCTTAAGCTGCAGAGTTTAAAATATTGAACCCCAATACATGTTCTATTGGTTGGAGGCGCACGGAATGTCGTGGAAGCGTCTTTAGTTCCCCGGGTTTAACAAAAATTTTAAATTAAACCGGGATTTTTTTTTTTTTATTTTTTTTTTTTTTTTTTTTTTATACATGTACAAAATGTAACCCGTTTTACGTAAACGCTGAGCGTGCCATAGAAAAACACCAACAACAGCGTTCAGCAGAATCCATATCCTTCAGTGACTATATTAATTCTATGCCAGGGTTCGTTTAATATAACTCTTGGCTTCCCTCCAAGGGTGCAGCTGGGGTGTTCATAAAAATCAGCTAGAGACAGCGTCAGGCTGTCCTTATATTGGTTTAATCTAAATATAAACGGACAGGTAAATTGACGTATGGAGAAAGCCATCTCCCCTTTGTGGGACATGGGGCAAATACTATCGTTGTTAAAATCGTTACCAAGCTTAACGACGGTACGCGTTCTTAACGATTTTCTTCCTGTTTGTCTATCTACATCTAGTCCGCTATTTCATAAAATAATTGACACACGCTGTATTTAAAATTGACTTTGCTAACGTTGTCAAACACTCGTGACGAGATTGTGTAGGTTTTTAACGTAGAGTTATGACACAAAGTTTCATGGAACTATCAACATTTTAGCAATTAAATAATATCTTCAGAGTTGAGTATATTATATCGATGATTAAGGTATTTCTTGGTTTAAAACGCCTGCTCTACCTGTCTGAACTACTTTATGGTTCTCCCAGCTTAGAACTGAGGTCTTGTTGCGGCATTACAAGCAATTGAAATATGTTACATACTAAATGCGCTCTTTTAAAACATCCAGCAGACCACGAAAACATCCAGTCGTAGGTAAAACTCATTCACACATTTAAATAAAATATTTAAACAAAAATATATAATACAAATATATAACTTATTATGCTGTAAAGCATCCGAATCGTCGGGTCGTAGTTAAAATAAATTAAAAATAATTTAACGAATATATTTCGGGTTTTAAACATACCCCTAAAACCCTATAACCTAAATCATAAACACATTTCACGTTTCCATTGGTTTGAGCAGTATATATTAGTATTTTATTTCATGTGTACTAAATAAAAATATTGAATAAGCGGTTTAGACAGACAAACACCTATATATATTGTTCATTGTATCATCTCTTCATCACTCACCGAGTGCCAGGAACAGCACAGTATACGCCGGCGATATCATTGACCTGCCGGGAGGTTGAGCCGCCCGCCCACATCCGTACAGCTGACCACACCATCAATACATCCACTTTGCCGTGCTCTTAGACACTTTGTGTGGTCGTCGACACTTTTTGACACTTGCTTCACTCTGTCTCTCTGTCAACACCACTAGTAATTCTGAAAAGATTGGGTATCTGAAAAAAGTGAAAAAGAGATTATCAATACATATATTTTTATATATTTATTTTGTATATCCCTCAATTTTATAAATATTTCACAGGTGCGTAAAATATGAGAGGAGTGCAATGTCTGTTTGTGGCCCGAAATGAACATTGATCTTTCAACACTCGGAAACCTCGTTAGTCGCACGTTACGTTAGATTAATAAAATCGATGGTGTTATCTTTGTTCAGGCTGAAAGAATACTATTTCACTAATCTATTTTATGTATGATCCATAGTTAATTCAAGTTTTTCCCCCCAGTAAGGAAGACTTTTTTTGGAATGCAAAATATATAGAGTAACTTATTATAAGTTAGATATGACAATGATTTTTTAGGTTCACTTGATGGGAACCTAAAACAATCACATCTACCCCAGCTTTATAATGTTTTAATAAGATGCGCTGCGACCTATTTTTGGGTTTGGATATTCGGAAATCCATAGACTGAAACGAAAGTACTATCAATCTTATGGCTTTTTCATATATGGAGGGAGGATTGTGGCCTGAATAGAATTTACAATATTCAAATCGCCAATTGAACATCCACCTATGCTGTCTATAGTTTACGCGAGTAGTACACATTTAAATAAAACACTTTAACGGTTTAAAACGCGATATATTAGTTAAACTTATTTGAAAATGATTTTTAACTTCGGCCCGACGTTTCGGATGCTTTGCAGCAGCCGTGGTCACGGGGAGACTAAAGATGGAGGATGTCTCTGACGTCAAAGTAAAGAATTGCTACGCTAGCGCCATCTGTTCCGTCGAAGTTGGTATTTGGCGAAACTAGCCGGGTCCTTACAGAATTGACTAACGGTGTCTTCGCGTTTGCTGGTATGCTGTTTATTGGGATCCAGAGTTTTTAATATGGGATCCCAGGTGTTTGATAGTTTGAGGCCGTCCTCCCTATTGAAATTTCGGTGTTTTTTGATTTCAATTGCTTCGCGTACCAATCTTGGAAAAAATCGACTCTCCTTTGCGAGGATTTTTGGTTGGTCAAAGCGAATGTAGTGATTGGGCCCTTCTGATGAGTGTTGGCATACCGCAGATTTGGAGAGACGTTTATGTTTTATATCCGCGACGTGTTCTTTAATTCTGTTTGAGATGCTACGTTTTGTTTGGCCGATGTAGGATAGGCCACAATCACAATCCAGTCTGTAAACGCCTGCATCTTGTAAAGGGATAGTACACTTGCTTGGTTTCAGGAATTGCTGAATCTTCTTGTGCGGCTTGAAAATTGTGTCAATAGAAGCTCGATTTAGGACTCTGCTAATTCTATCTGTAACTCCCTTCACATATGGTAGGTAGGCGGGCTGACGTTTGACTGTGGGTGGCTTATTCCTGTTCCTGGGATGCTGCGGAGGGACTCTCAGCTTGTTCTTGCATAGGACCTGCTTGACATGCTGTAACTCCTCATTTAAGTGGGCAGCATCACAGAGACGGCGGGCTCTCTGAAACAAAGATACTCCGACAGAACTAAGTTGGCTGGGGTGGTGATGTGAGTCACCGTTCAAATACCTATCTGTATGGGTTGTTTTTCTAAAGACGGTATGCCCAATATTACCGTGTTCATCACGAATAACTAAAATGTCTAAGAAAGGTAGTGTGTTATTGTCCTCCTGTTCCATTGTAAACTTAATGTTATTATGAATTGAGTTAAGGTGTGTAAGAAATGCAGATACTTGTGCTTTGGGTAAGATGGTGAAGGTATCATCTACGTATCGCTTGTAAAGCCTAGGTTTAACCGGGGAAGAAGCAAGGGCTCTCTCCTCAAAGTCTTCCATAAAAATGTCAGCAACTAAGGGTGAAACTGGAGAACCCATGGCTACCCCATCTACCTGAACATAGAAATCCCCATTCCAAAGTAGGTACCCGGTTGTCAAGCAATGTTCTAAGATATCCGCATATTCTATAGGCATGTTGTGTTTAATAAGTTTGCTCTTAATAATTTTGATACAATCAGCTATAGGTAAGTTTGTAAAGAGTGATGTGATGTCAAAGCTTACCATAACCTCATTGTCCGCTACCTTTAGACCTTTAATAGTTTCTACAAACTGATACGAATCCCTGACGTGAGCATTTGTATTTCCCCTGAGGGGGGCAAGTGTTCTGGATAAGTGTTTTGCTAGTTTATAAGTGGGCGAATCTATTTGACTAACTATTGGACGTAAGGGATTGTTTAATTTATGAATTTTAGGTAACCCGTACATTTTTTTTACATTTGTATTTCCCCTCAGGGGAAATACAAATGCTCACGTCAGGGATTCGTATCAGTTTGTAGAAACTATTAAAGGTCTAAAGGTAGCGGACAATGAGGTTATGGTAAGCTTTGACATCACATCACTCTTTACAAACTTACCTATAGCTGATTGTATCAAAATTATTAAGAGCAAACTTATTAAACACAACATGCCTATAGAATATGCGGATATCTTAGAACATTGCTTGACAACCGGGTACCTACTTTGGAATGGGGATTTCTATGTTCAGGTAGATGGGGTAGCCATGGGTTCTCCAGTTTCACCCTTAGTTGCTGACATTTTTATGGAAGACTTTGAGGAGAGAGCCCTTGCTTCTTCCCCGGTTAAACCTAGGCTTTACAAGCGATACGTAGATGATACCTTCACCATCTTACCCAAAACAAGTATCTGCTTTCTTACACACCTAACTCAATTCATAATAACATTAAGTTTACAATGGAACAGGAGGACAATAACACACTACCTTTCTTAGACATTTTAGTTATTCGTGATGAACACGGTAATATTGGGCATACCGTCTTTAGAAAAACAACCTACAATAGGTATTTGAACGGTGACTCACATCACCACCCCAGCCAACTTAGTTCTGTCGGAGTATCTTTGTTTCAGAGAGCCCGCCGTCTCTGTGATGCTATTAAATGAGGAGTTACAGCTTCAAAGGTCTATGCAAGAACAAGCTGAGAGTCCCTCCCAGCATCCAGGAACAGGAATAAGCCACCCACAGTCAAACGTCAGCCCGCCTACCTACCAATTGTAGGGAGTTACAGATAGAATTAGCAGAGTCCTAAATCGAGCTTCTATTGACACAATTTTCAAGCCGCACAAAAGATTCACATCCTAAGCAAGTTACTTCCCTTTACAAGATGCAGGCGTTTACAGACTGGATTGTGATTGTGGCCTATCCTACATCGGCCAAACAAAACGTAGCATCTCAAACAGAATTAAAGAACACGTCGCGGATATAAAACATAAACGTCTCTCCAAATCTGCGGTATGCCAACACTCATCAGAAGGGCCCAATCACTACATTCGCTTTGACCAACCAAAAATCCTCGCAAAGGAGAGTCGATTTTTTCCAAGATGGTAAGCAATTGAAATCAAAAAACACCGAAAATTTCAATAGGGAGGACGGCCTCAAACTATCAAACACCTGGGATCCCATATTAAAAACTCTGGATCCCAATAAACAGCATACCAGCAAACGCGAAGACACCGTTAGTCAATTCTGTAAGGACCCGGCTAGTTTCGCCAAATACCAACTTCGACGGAACAGATGGCGCTAGCGTAGCAATTCTTTACTTTGACGTCAGAGACATCCTCCATCTTTAGTCTCCCCTACCACGGCTGCTGCAAAGCATCCGAAACGTCGGGCCGAAGTTAAAAATCATTTTCAAATAAGTTTAACTAATATATCGCGTTTTAAACCGTTAAAGTGTTTTATTTAAACATCCACCTATGATTCGTTGATTATTAGCCATAATTATATTGCGACCATTACACAAAAAAAATCCTCACGAACACTACAAAAGTAAGTATTGTTCGTTGTTTACGCGCGTAGTACACCTACAAGTGCCTAATGTCAATATCAAAAGTACTACGCTACAGATGGCGCTATCGTAGTAGTTTGTACTTTGACATTAGAGACACTCTTTATCTTCAGTAGCCCAGTAACCTCGGCTGCTGCAAAGCATCCGTAACGCTGGGCCGTAGTTAAATTAAATTAAGGATAAGTTAACTAATCGTAAAGGCATTTTAAACGGTTAAATGTAAAACCATTTGAACAATAAAGTATTTAACCTTAAAATTTGTTCGATGTTATACATATCGTAATAAATTGATCTATTTACGGTCATTAATGGTGTTACACACTTTTACACCTATAAAACGCAATGTTGAAAACCAGACGCCATTTTCAAATCGTCAGAGGCGTGTTCAGCGTTAGTAACTTTCACTCATTTGAAAACGTTAAGGAGGTTCTATTCACCAGAAAAACTACAGCAACTGCAACAAAAACTACACCCTCGGACTCATTGAGAGAAAAACAAAGGCCATTATCCATTGCACCTTTATTGTTTCACAAAAGGCCTATCTTCAAAGAAAATAAGCGATGAACATAATTATTTCTCTTTGTCAACGGCCAACGACCCTTACACGGTAGGGGTGCTGCACTATTAGGGCTGTCATAAGCTATTTTAAATTAGTTTAAGTGGCTCTGTTAAAAGACTATACATTAAGACCAAAGATTCTAGTTTTAAATTTAAGTTTTTAATTTATTTAATAAACAATAATTTTACGAGCTCTTTGATAATCAATGGGTCCAAACCTCACCGACTTCAAATGTTTCTAATAAATTTACAATTGTACTAACACATGTTGGACGCGTCTGGAAATCTAGATATTAAATGTGTGGTAGGAATATCGAAATTCACATTCAGTTCACGAACGGTCCACAGATCACAAAGCCCTCAAGTTTAATCGCGTTTCGGTTTCAGTCTGTGGATTTCCGATTATCCGAAACCAAATTAGGTTGACAGAGCACC